CCGCATAAGAGGCCTCCTGTATGTCACGCCCCGCATAAGAGGCCTCCTGTATGTCACACCCCGCATAAAAGGCCTCCTGGAAGTCAAGCCCCGCATAAGAGGCCTCCTGTATGTCACGCTCCGCATAAGAGGCCTCCTGTATGTCAAGCCCCGCATAAGAGGTCTCCTGTATGTCACGCCCCGCATAAGAGTCCTCCTGTATGTCACGCCCCGCATAAGAGGCCTCCTGTATGTCACGCCCCGCATAAAAGGCCTCCTGGAAGTCAAGCCCCGCCCCTCACCACTCCTGGGCCAAATGACGCCCGGGCCCCTCCCTGCACACAGCAGCCGGCTCTCTATGCAGCTATATCCATCCGATCGATGCAGTCCATTCCACATGAGCTATTGTGGTCCAGCCGCCCCCGCCACGGGCACTGTGTGTGGGGGACGAAAAATACTAACACATCTGAAGGGGCGTCCATTTAAAAGGTGTGTAGTCAATAAAGGACTTTGTGAGTAAAGAGGGACAGCATGACAGGGAGGTGCTGGGGCAGTTCGGCTGCCATTGATCGACACTGTGGACTAATCAGCATTACCGTCCCTGGCTGTACAGGGGTGACATTGCTGGGACGCTACATACAGGAAGAGATCAATAAGCCATCTTTGTTCTCCCCCAATCCTTAAGCACCTATGTGTAATTAACCTTCCCAGAGTATGAAGCAGAGTGGCGGGGGGGGGGCACTTTCATTCCGGATCGGTACTGACGCGGGTCGGTCCGGTGCTTTGGCGCGCCGCCAGGCATCGGCCCCTGGGCTTTTACCTGGTGTTTTCAGAACCAATTAGTGGGCTTTGCGGGTCAACAGGCAGTGCCTTTCACACAGTGCAATCTAAAAGCTGTTAAAAACTGGATGGTGTTTATGGAGGACAGGGTCAGAACCTTCTGTTCGGTGCTGGAACAATTTGGATTTCTAACAGTCCATTATAATTCTCTTTTAGAAAGGAATAGTGAAATTTAACTCAGACCTAAAGAAAACAGGGGCTCGATAAGTAGATACGGTACGCACCCCTCTATCCATCTTCTAACTGCTTATCCTGGGTCACGACTCCAGAAATGGGAGATGAACCCTATCCTCTGAGGTCTATGGCAACCGTGCTACCCACTGAGTCACCACACCATCTATGAAGTATTCATTCATACACCATAACACAGTTCTGCAAAACTAGGTTTATGCCCAATTTTACAGCAATGGGGGTAAACAGAATTCTGTCATTTTAGGAATACTAATACTATACAGCAGCCTAAGGGTTGGTTTATATTCTAAGCGTGCAACACGTGCATTTATGCATGTTGTCGCTATGCAAGCAGTGCTACTGCTGGTACTTACATGCGTGGTTAACATCAACCTGGAGGAGTAAAGGTTATGTCCACCAGGGGGCAGTGTGAGAAAACCGTCTTGGTCGGCTCCTTTGTTTCCAGCCTCACTTGTTTGTATGAGGTTGTGACATGAAAAGTTTTACACTCGCTGCCTCCACAGCGAGTTGCTAATTTTGTAATACTGCTGCAGCATTCTCTATATTTCACCATATGCTCCACATCGTACAGGGAATGTTCTGTCACACATCGTTTTACTACTTCATGCTGAATGTTGCATTTTATGTTGTTAGATATCTCATGGTAGTTAGTACTTCATACTTATTATTACAGCTGCCGGAAAAAAAAATAAAAATTTGTGATAACTATTGCAATATTTACAATGCAAAATTAGTTCAAAAGAAATTTCTCACAAACAGGTGAAACCAGGGTTCCCCCAATTCTAGCAGAATAATGCCATGACTTTTCCAGTACCATAAGAAAAATTTCCAAAACCCAAAAGTTTGTAAAACTAAAGTAGAAAGAACAGTATAAGGTAGTTAACTATTGATTTCCACTCGCACATTTCCAGGAAGCGGGAAACAAAAATGAACAAGGTTAGTTTCCAAAACTTTTCTTCTCTATCCAAGAATTTCAAAACTTATCCAGGGCCTGGAAAAATTATTTAAAAATTCCACAACTTTTCCAGGTTTTCCATGACCGCGAGTACCCTGTTAAACATATACTAGAAAATCCTGAAACGGAGTGGTCATTAATTTTGCAAAGCTTGCTAACTTTTGTTTCCTATAACAATATAAATGTTCTAGCGAAACGTAAACCGCACACTGTTGGCGAATTTTATCACCAAGATTAAATCCCAGAACTGTACTGTAAAATACTGCCGCTTGTGAAAGTTAGAATATTAGACATGACACTGCTTTCTGGCATCAGATTGAATTCGGAAGCAGAAGAAACTTAAACTGGCATTAAATTGTGAAGAAGCTGTACACAGAGGCACACAGTAGTCCTTGGAATATTCTCTCTCACCTCTGGAAATGTTCAGTTTTGGCCACTCATTCTTAAAAAAAAAAAAACAGTTCAAGAGTAAAGAATGTGGCCGCTCCGAACTCACCCGTCCTAGTAGGTACTTTAATACTAACTGAACCATATAAAAACACGTACTGTAGGCCCGTGACAAAAGGTGACCATACTGCCACCCCAATTTTTGGTGGTACTGCATCTCGCGTACACGTCACGTTTATTCCTTGCGTAGATACACAGACTGCATGGAATCAATGCAGAAAACGCATGCCGGCCATGATGCAGACATGGATGCGTTGTATTAACCAGCCCTAACACACATCCTTATGGAAACACAAAAGAAACACAATCTGGATGACTTAAGGGCACAAGACACATTTTCCCCTGTTTTTAAAAGTCTTCCGTCTCTTAGCAGCAATGACAGCCTATTCTCACTACACCTCAGGGCCAGTTTGGGTAACAGCACAAACGACAGGCTGCCCTCTCCATCTGCCAGCAGCTACGCTTACACCAGCCTGTCCGTGTCTCCGGCGCCATCGATATAACCCTGGGGAGGTGCGGAGGAGCCAGACACGTCAACCCCGCTACTGACAAAAAAAGGCAGCTCTCCATTAGACTGCAACACTGACAAAGACAAGCGAGGCGAATGTCCGTCCTCAGTGCCACTCAGGGGATGAAGCCAGTGAATCCAGGAAGTGAGGAGCGGGCCGTGGATGTGAGCCGCCGGCTAGCCGAGGCCCCTTCGCGGACCTGCCTCTGGGACAGACAGACGGAGCCGTACCTCCGGATTTTACCCAGGCGGCTTTGATCTTCATACTGTCCCTTCATTTTAAGTAGAAATTCCATCTTAAACCCATTTGATCTTAGACATGCATACAGTACTGGTCCAACGGTTACGGCTTGAAAGCTTGTGCTCCACGTATTCAGTTCATAGGTAGCAGATTTATACCATTTAACTTCTTTTCTGATGACCCCGGCGCTGCCGGGTTCACGTCGATTAACGTTATCACAGACCCTGAAAGGTCAGGTCAGGTTGGGTATATGCACTGATGCAGCACGTCGCTACACCCACCACATGACAAGAGACCTCGGCATCCTGGCTGGGGACCCCCCAGGCAGACACACAGTTCAGTCCCACGCCCCAGAAATGACCATCCATCTGCCGCAGGGAGCTGGTACACGGGACTGGTTCAGTCGCCTGGGTCCTCAGCAATGAGGATCTCACGGCCCGGATCACCCACAGGGAATCGCACCACATGGCTGTAGGGCCCTTCTAAAGCTTCCATTTATTTCTCATCTTCCTTGCCTCTTTATCTTTGTAAACCATTTCATTTTCCCAGCAAACAGTATATATCTATGTGTTTTCACTGCAAACATATTAAATTGTTCATATTTCTTTTGTATTTACATCATGTGACAGTTTTACCAAAATGTCATTTTCTGCTCTCTACTGTCACATCATTCTGTTATTATGGTCTGTCTATCTGCATGTGCGATATTTATAAGCCTGTTGGACAGTCACTTTATTATTCACTCTAGTCCAAGGCAACATACAGCCACTGCACTCTAGAGGCAAGCAATGAATGACATTTCTGATTTGAGACTTTCATGCACTCTGTTCTGTCGGTACATCTGCTTGTTGTGCCACATTTGGCAGTGAAAGACAGATGGTACAGGCCACCCATGTTTTGCTATTTAAAGAATGATTTACAATTCATTAAACATTAGCTGCTTTCCAAGACACACTTCCCAAGTGTGGGATATGGGAACTGCACAAACCTTAAATAAGCATTGTTTTGTTTTGAACAATAACCGAAACAATATTAATGGAAACGAGCATTGAAAGCAGCACCACTTCTCTGGAGGAGTCCCTAGAGAAATTTTAAGAAACTCAATCAACCTTACGACAAGACCAATTACTAAGGATTCAAACCAAAATAAATGACTATACGCTACCAGATTAGTGTAACATCAGAAAATAAGGCTGATTAAAAAGATGCCTGAAAGAATAAAAAGGTGCATATGTAAACAGAGACAGAATCTTAAAAATAAACTTAGGAAAAAAAAAATCACTTCAAAGTTTTTGTAAATATCTTGTGCTGGTCAAGATACCAGGGGAGACTTACCCACAAACTCAGAAAGGAAGACCACAAAGAATGGGGTGACCAGATCGTTGATGCCTTGTACATAGCCACTGGCGGGGTGGCGAATTGCCCAGATAAACAGGATTCTCTCAAACACCTAGGTGGCAAACAAAGACAAGAGACCCGGATGACGATAATGATGATTGTGCATCAGTGATGATGTGTCATGGTGATGATGACTGAGATTGTGGTGGCTGTATCAGCAATGATGACGACTGTGGTCGTTGTATCAGCAATGATGATGATGATGATGATAATTGCGGTTATAATAGTACCCATAATGATTATTGCTTTCTGAATGCTTGCATCAGCAATGATAGTTATGATGGTTGCTGTAGTGATGAGGGTGAAGATGACTGTGGTGGTGATGATGATGATTCTGAGTATTGCATTTTATATCCATAACTCAGGGCTGTAAATATCAGGATTGTAAACGCTTGCCAAACTAACACTTAGCTTTAAATTTGAAATACAAATTTAATTCAGTCCATTGGTAAACCACTGTACCTGGGTTAATTTCATTCTAGTCCATTCTCTTTCATTGCCACTCCCTATACGTGTCTCTTATTCTCTGAAATCAAAGCAGTGAAAATAGCCTGAACATGGCTGATGTCATGACGGCTGGAGCAGCTGATTCCCAGCAGGGCTGGAGCGTGAGCACGCCGCTGGGAGACGCTGGACTGGAGTGGGGGGGGGGAGAGGGGGTGCAAGTGGAGGAAGAGGGGGAGCGTCTGCTGTCCCTCCGGGGAGAGGCGGCACTAAACTGCTCCCCCTGGAGGCACCGCCGGAGCGTGTCAGGGACAATGACGGGTAAATAACGCACACGCCTCCCCGAAGGAGACCGCAGCGAGCACCGCACTGTCAGGCAGCTGCTTCGGAGGGCCCTGCTTTAAATCTGATCACTCTTCCTTCTTTATATCTTCTTCCTGTAATTGATTACCACCGGCTTTAAGGCACATGAAGGACGACTGGGATGTGAAATGCGTGCCTGCATTAACAAGAGGACACGGAAGCAAACCGCGTTCCGAGGGGATTCCTTCCTAACTCGGGCTTCCCGGCCTCGACTGGCAGGTCTGCCTAACACTCCTGAGTCTCCCTTATGGCTGACAGTGTGCTGCTCGCTTTCAGTACGTGGCTGAACTTGCAAAAAAAAAAATTGTTCCTCCTATATAAGTACAAACGGAAAATCTGATTTTACAGAGTGTCTCTGCTGTAAATGGCCATATCTTCCTGTTATAGCATTGTCATCTTGCGGCTGCTTTTCCAGAAGCTTCTACCCCCTACAATATAGCTGACCTCTGTTCAGCCTGAACCTGTGGCAGTTTTAAAGCAGAGCCTGTTGCCATGAGGACAATTCTCCTAAAACAGCCTGTGGAGCCCAAAGTCCTTCACACTTAAGTTTAATTTCCTATAGAATGAAACAGTCTGTGGGCCTCTAATCTCACATGCATGCGGCACAGTGTGAAAGCTAAGAAAAATATATATTCTGAAGAAATTATCTTCACCAGAATTATTCTAGAACCATATTAAAGTTTAATGTAATTTCCCAAAGTTCAAGGCAAATTGAATTATCTGATTTTTGCATTTTCTCTATCTCAGAAAGAAAAAAATGAAATGGAAAGTATGGTTATGAATAATGATGGGGGGGGGGAGGGGGGGGTTCAGAAATTCTGTCTGCTGCCCTTTGACCCCGTGCCTCTACTTTTCCTTACCAAATCAAGAGGGACAATTCTTACTTGGACAGATATTTTCTGACACACCCACAGCACCCCCTGCTGGGACGTAGCATTAATACGTTATACAGGCCCCCACCACACGCACACCCAAAAGAGCATCCATCATTGACACCTTCCCCAAAATAACGTACTGAAACACCTGCTAATGCATGCTTGTCAAGGCGCGCACACACCAACATGCAAACAGATACACACACACACACACACACACACACACACACACACACACACACACACGCAAATGTGCACACACACACACACACACACACACAAATACAGGCACATGCAAATGTGCACACACACAAACTAGCTAAAACACACCCACATACACATGGAGAAACATGCATACATGTGCAAACAGGGGTAAACACACAAAGGTGCAAACATGGGCAAAAATGTACACACACACACACACACACACACACACACACAGGATCCTGCACACACATACAAAGACAGCCTTTGCACATGCCTGCCCTCCATTTGCACAACCCGCAGATACACGGCTGCAGGAGACACTGCTCGCTGTGACCTCTCCCATTAACACCATGTTAACACCCTTCCGCCCCACTCATAATCACACGTCTCAGCGCCCCCCCCCCACCACAGGAGACCAGCAGCTGACTGTGTTCAGACATGTTAGGCGTGCTGCTGTACACTGGGGGGGGTTGCGTCTCACCTCTTGCACCAGCGGCTGCTGGAAGAGTGGGATGAGGGGGTTCGTCCGGGGGATGTCGATGTGGATCTGCGGAAGAAAGCAGCACGAGGGTGTGAGCGAGCAGATCGCTGCTGAGGGACTCGGGGCCGCCGACCTTGGGGTTAATGTGAAGGTACCTCACACACACAGCCTTTCTGCTGAAACCCTCAGGCAGGCAGCCCAGGCCCCGCCCACTATGCCATGATGTCATAGGGGACACAGCGGTGCCGCACTGGAGGTGAGGGATGGCAGCACAGGTTAATGCCAAAGCAACACGGGCATCCCATCGCAAACGGGGGCCTTAAATTACACAGAATGAGAGTGCTGCCCACTGGAGGGGGTCCTTTTTAAAAGTCTGCTTGGTCCTCTTAGACACCTCATTCAGCGCTACATACAGCTAAAGCCCCCAGCAGAGTGGGTCATACTGGGGCAGGACGGGGGTCGATGGCCACCCCGAGGGGAGGCCTTCGGGGGGGTGGGGGTATCAGTGACCGGCTCCAGACCGACAGAGGCCTCGCCGATGAGATTCAGCGGGCCATAAATGTACAAAGATCTGATTTACTCTTGGCGAGGGAGAAGCTCAGAGGAATCATGAAGGGAGAGTGAAGCAGAGGTAAAATGCAAGAGACACAGAGCATGAGTGCTGCACCATTAACTTGAGTTTTACAGGCTGTGGGAGTATCGATTTTGCCCAGACTCATTAATGAAACGCTGTTTAAAATAAATAAGTAAATAAAAATAAATAAATAAAGTAAAATTAACAAACAAAATAAATAAAGGAGAAGGTCACTCATTTTTGTAAACATTTCTGTGGCTCCTTTAAAAAGGTCCAAAGCTTCCTGGGACCCCAGTTTCCTGGAAGGGGGACTGGGCCCGGGTTCGAGTCCCCAGACCATGCTGATCCGGCTTCCCCCCTCAACAGGCCCCTCTGCCCCTTCAAAAGCTCTCCTGGAAAATTTATACTGCGCTTCAAACTCCCTTCCAAGCTGATACATATTTAACAACTTTTGGGAAGGTGAAACCGAAGTAGTCGAAGAAAATAAGGTAAATATTTAAAAAGGGGAGATCTTTTATCACCACGAAAACCAGAATCCAGCAGGCTCTGCTACGCCTCGTTGCTGGGAGAGCTAATTTAATGATGGGGAGTAACCATGCAGTCTTCAGCATGCGAGGCTGTAATGAAGCCAGTGGTCCCTTCCTGCACTAACGAGGAATATTTGATTATTGACAAATTCATGGTCTTTGCACGTCCATTGCAACCACTCTTGAAATCCACAGAGCAAAGCGGAGTCTGGCTGTCTGTCCGCACTGGTTTGATAGTGCTCTCTTAATGCTCTTCCAAGCACACCTGTGATGGTCAGACCAAGGTCTCTGCAGGTGGACTGAAAGGAGGAGATCTGAAAGAGCTCGGCCAGCGTCGGTGTTGCCTGCAGCCACACTGTCACCAAACAAACCGCCAAATCACAGACGGGGGCTCGGGGTGTGACGTGGGACTGTGGGAGAGCAGCACCGGGCGAGAGCGCCGGGGGTCTGCGAGGGCAATCGGGCTGGGCGGAGGCTGCCACTGTACCGCTCTGTCATTTGAGTTTGGCCCCATGAGGGAGTAAACTGTCAGGTCAGAGAAGCGTGATCCCGCTTGTCTGGCTCTCCTTCAGAAGACGCGTGCGGAGCCTTCAAGGCACTGGGCCTCCCCACAAGGCTGCGTTTTCCGTGCCGTGTGTGATGCCGTGCAGAGCACTGGGGGGCAGGGATGGGCCCGCTCTCACACTTAAGCAACCTGGGAGGAAACTCATCAGCTGAGATCTCCATCGCCTCCTGGTGGTGGGGAGGGGGACTAACCTGCCTGTAGGTGTCCCTGTGGTTCTCGTCCGTCCTGGAGTGGTAATACTGCTCGATGAAGCCAAAATACTCCTCCCTCTTCCGCTTCAGCACCAGCTCCCTGCGCTCCATGTTGGCTGGAAGGTAACCCTAAGTGGGAGGGGAGAGAGTAACAATGACCTCGGCGTCTGCCGTCACTCCGCCTCATCCTCTCGCTTTGCGCTGTGACTCATCGCACCCCTGGGCTCGCAGCCTGCCGGGCCGCTAATCCCTCCACCGGTGCTCGCGCTCTAATGCCCACATCAACGGAAGTGATGACACAGACTGGCGACATTCCGAATGCAAACGAAAAAGCTCGGCACAGGGACACGGCACGGCAGTCGCACACATGACTGAAGATGCCCTCCTAAATCGAGACCGTTTTGTCTGCTCTCACCCAGCCGATCTCCATTTGTCCCTCTCTCCCCAGTCCCCGCACATTCCCCAGTCTATCCCTCCCCGGTTTGTATTCCTCCTAACTCATATTCAATCAGGAGCCAATTCAAACACCTGGTCGGCATGGCAGTGCGCAGGGCCCTAACGAACATTCCCAGTCACGGCATCTACGTGGTCTGCTTATCTGTAGCCAATCATGGCCTAGAATGGATAGCAGGACTCCGTACCCCTCGTACAGGTTGTGAGCCAGGCAGCTGTGCACATGGGTGAATTTATCACTGCCAACCACCAGGGCGGCGCTTCTTCAGCTGGATGCTTGCTTGGTTATCACAGACTAGGTCTGTATCCTCCTGCACCCAAAGGGGAGGAGACCCCAGATGACTCAGCCCAGAAACAGATCAGCTGTCATTTATGGTTTCCAGCTTCAGATGCCACCCAGTGCCAACCCTACTGTGCTTTATGTATGAATAATATAGAGGATTTCATATGACAGATTGGGGCCGCTATACGCCTTTCATGTTTCCCATTGGCTGCTACCACGTGCCCGTCTTCCCTGCCAAACATCTCAGGTGAATGCTGTACATGATGAGCAGGGATGACTCTCGCCGCAGGGTAAAGCGGCATACTGCAAGTATATACCAGTACACAAACTCCAGTCACAGAGCTGGCCCACTTTCTACATCCACATACCGCATCCAATCCGGGTCATCTTAGGACTGCAGGAAACCAAAGCACACAGAGAAAACCAGCCCAACACAGGGAGGACGTGCCAACAACAGAGCAGGCGCGGGATTCGAACCCGCAACCCTGGAGGTGTGAGGGCAGCATGTCATCACTGCTGGTAATTATGATTAATATGGTTGCTCCAGGCCTGATCTGTTAAGGTCATGTGCAGATTTATCAGCATATCGCAGAATTCTATTAAAATAATTATTACTGTAATTTAACCTTTTGCCAGCTGCCCCTGGTGTTTAAAAACACAGATGTGGAGAATAAAACAGGCCGATCCGTACTGTTGGCCTCTAAGACAGGGCATCTTACTGCTACATAAAACTAGACCAGATCACTTCTGATTTCCGTACTGAGAGCTATGCAGGAATGATGAGCGAACAGGCTCAGGATCAGTGGCCGACAAAATGAGCAGCGTGCCTGTGACCCCCCCCCCCGGCACCGCTCTGCGAGACCTTGGGCTCCAGGCACCGCTCACAGACAAGCAGGCATCCCGGGGAATGGCAGGACTGCTGTCAGGGAGATAAAGATTCCTATATGACGGTCAATCCATTGTGAAGGAAGAGTGAAAACGCGTGGATAAATAAAATATATCAATAAACTGCTGTACAAGCAGGCCTGAGTATCCAAAGCGGAGTGTCCGCAGCCAGCCTGAAGTCTGTGTGTGTGTGTGTGTGTGTGTGTGTGTGTGTGTGTG